TGCCTCAGCCTCCCAAGTAGTTGGTACTACAGGTGCCCGCCACAACACTTGGCTATTTTTTGTTTGTAGTTGTTGTTGTTTGGCAGACCCAGGCTTTGAACCCACCAGCTTTGGTGTATGTGGCTGGCGCCCTAGCCACTGAGCTACAGGCACTGAGCCAAAACTTTTTTTTTTTTTTTGATGGAGTCTCAAAAGCTGTTGCCCTGGATAGAGTGCTGTGACATCATAGCTCACACCAACCTCAAACTCTTGGGCTCAAGCGATCATCTTGCCTCAGATTGTCTACTTTTAATAGAGATGATGTCTCACTTTTGCTCAGGCTGGTCTCATGAGCTCAAGCAATCCACCCACCTCAGCCTCCCAGAGTGCTAGGATTATAGGTGTGAGGCCTGCGCCTAGCCTAAAAAGTGTTTAGAATGATAAATTGGACAGGGCGCAGTGACTTACACCCATAATCCTAGCACTCTGGGTGGCCAAAGTGAGTGGATTGCCTGAGTTCAGGACTTTAAGACCAGCCCCAGCTAGAGGGAGACCCTGTCTCTAAAAAGAACCAGGCATTGTGGCAGGCACCTGTAGTCTAAGCTACTCGGGAGGCTGAGACAAGATAATCACTTGAGCCCATGAGGTTGCTGTGAGCTATGATGCCACAGCACTATAGGGAGGGCAACAAAATGAAACTATATCTCAAATAAATAAATAAATAAAATGATAAATTGTATATATATTTTACCACAATTTTTCTTGAAAAGTTTCTGATGTTTCTCAAATTCCTTTTTTAGCAAATTCTAGAGAAAAGCTTAGAACTTTATATTGGTAGAAGCACTCAACCAGACTTATTCAACTTTCTAGTAAGCTTGGATTTTCTAATTTAAAGTGTATATGCTGGCCAGGTACAGTGGCTCACACCTGTAATCTTAGCACTCTGGGAGGCTGAGGCAGGTGGATTGCTTGAGTTCAGGAGTTTGAGACCAGCCTGAGCAACAGTGAGACCCCGTCTCTAAAAGTAGCCAGATGTTGTGGCGGGCACTTGTTTTCCCAGCTGCTTGGGAGGCTGTAGGAAGAGAATTGCTTGAGCCCAATAGTTGAGGTTGCTGTGAGCTATATAGCACCACCAGCACTCAACCCCAGAGTGACTGAGTGAGACTCTGTCTCAAAAAATAAATAAATAAATAAAGTTTATATGCTTATTGTTTATATTTCATAGCATAGCAAATACCTTTAATTACAAAAAAATTTCATTGGATTTATCATTAAACAGGAATTGATGAAGAATATAAATGTGTAACCCTATCTTCAGTCTCTTACTATTCTTCAGGCATCTTGGTTCTCTTAAAATCACAAGTAAAACACTGTGCACAGTGTCCGTTAGGGTTATGCTTCTGGTGAATAATCATTGAACTTTAAGATTTTTTTTAAAAATGTATGTTCTTAACTATACTTCAATGTAGGGGATGTATTTATGGTTCTCTTATGTTTTCATTTCTAGTCAAATGCACCATGTATCATTTTCATTGATGAAATTGATGCTATTACCCCCAAAAGAGAAGTTGCTTCAAAAGATATGGAACGAAGAATTGTAGCCCAGCTCCTAACCTGCATGGATGGTCAGTTTAAAATAATGTATTGCTTTTAAGTAATACTTTTTAAAGATGGTATAATTAATATATGAAGATATGAAAAAGACAGAGTAAATTTCAAACAATGTGAAAAAGGAAGTCTGTTTTATTTTCTAGAAACAGGGTCTTGCTGTGTTGCCCAGGTTAGAATGCAATGGCTATTCTTTATTTTATTTATTTAAATTTTTTTTGCAGTTTTTGGCCAGGGCTAGGTTTGAACCCACCACCTCCGGCATATGGGGCTAGTGCCCTACTCCTTTGAGCCACAAGCACCACCCACAATGGATATTCTTAGATGTGATTTTTGTATATGATAGCCTTTTTTTTGAAACAGAGCTCAAGCTATCCCCCTGGGTAGAGTGCTATGGCATCACAGCTCACAGCAACCTCCAACTCCTGAGCTCAAGTGAGTCTCCTGCCTCAGCCTCCCAGGTAGCTGGGACCACAGGCACCTGCCACAATGCCTGGCTATTTTTTGTTTGCAGCCGTCATTTTTTTTGTTTTGGCAGGCCCAGGGTGGATTTGAACCCGCCACCTTAGGTGTATGTGGCTGGCGCCTTAGCCACTTGAGCCACAGGTGCCAAGCCTATACATGATAGCCCTAAACTCCTGGGCACCACTAATCCTTCCACCTCATCCTCCTGAGTAGCTAGTACTACAGGGAAATGCCACCCTGTCTAGCTTGTCTTCTTTTTCATTAATGATAATGCCATTAATTTAATTTTTAGGCTATATTTTTTGTTCTTGTTGGGTTTTTTTTTTGAGACAGAGCCTCAAGCCGTTGCCCTGGGTAAAGTACTGTGGCATCACAGTTCACGGCAACCTCCAACTCCTGGGCTCAAGCGAGTCTCCTGCTTCTGCCCCAAGTAGCTGGGACCACAGGTGCCTGCCACAATGCCCAGCTATTTTTTGGTTGCAGCCATTATTGTTTGGCAGGCCTGGGCTGGATTTGAACCCACCAGCTCAGGTCTGGCACCTTAGCCGCTTGAGCCACAGGCACTGAGCCAACTATATCTTTTTTGTTGTTGTTTTGAGACAGAGTTTTACTATGTCACCCTCAGTAGAGTGCCATGGCATCATAGCTCCCAGCAACCTCCAGCTCTTGGCCTTAAGTGATCCTCTTGCCTCAGACTCCCAAGTAGCTAGGATTACAGGCATCCACCACAACACCCGGCTATTTTTAGAGATGGGGTCTTGCTCTTGCTCAGGCTGGTCTTGAACCTGTGAGCTCCGAGCAGTCTACCCATTTCGACTTCCTAGAGTACTGGGATTATAGACATGAGCCATGGCGCCCAGCCCTAGACTATCTCTTATAGTTATTTTTAGTGTATTTACACATATGCTAACATTGGTTTGCTTTTTATAATACTAGATTGTACCATACACATTATTCTACAACTTTGTGTTTCTTTCTTTTTTTTTTGTGGAGACAGAGTCTCACTTTGTCACCCTTGGTAGAGTGCCATGGCATTACAGCTCACAGCAACCTCCAACTCCTGGGCTTAGGCGATTCTCTTGCCTCCGCCTCCCTACAACTTTGTATTTCTACTTTAATATATGTCCTGGAAGTGTTGCCATTTTAATGCATTTATATTTACCTCTTTTTTTTTTT